TAGTGCTCTGTGTGGCCTCTGTGTGTGTGTAGCACTGTGCGTGGGCTCTGTGTGTGCTCTGTGTTTATGTAGACTCGGGTCTGTGTGTGCTCTGTGTGTGTAGACTCGGGTCTGTGTGTGCTCTGTGTGTGTAGACTCGGGTCTGTGTGTGCTCTGTGTGTGTAGACTTGGGTCTGTGTGTGCTCTGTGTGTGTAGACTCGGGTCTGTGTGTGTAGACTCGGGTCTGTGCGCGCTGCATGCCACACCGTGAGCGCTGAGCTCCTGGGCAGGCGCAGCCTTACCTTGTCCGGGTCCGAGGCTGTAATGACCCACACGCAGTGCGCGTTGTCTTCGTACTGAACCGGGTAGTTGGGTGAGGTGATGACACCACTGGGCCCCCGCAGATTCGAGCCGCACGTCCTGGCTGCAATTAGAAAGAAATCCTGTCACGTATGCAGCCCCTGCCAGAGCAGGACAGACGCTACGTCCGCGGTTTCCAGACCCTCACGGACACTGGCTGAAGGACACGAGTGGGGGAGTGGATTTTGCTTGGCCTTCAGGACCCCGCCTGGTGTGTGCCACATTGCTAGTGTCCCCTGATCACGTCGTGTTTGCACACACATCGCCCTTCAGAATGGGGAAGGACTGATTTTCAACTCCCGCTCCAGGGCAGCCATCTTCGCATGCACGTGGTGGTATAGAGAATCTGCAGATACACAGTCACACCCGGACGCAAGGTGACGGTGAAATTGCAGAGCATTGGGTCATTTGACCGGTGCCCGCCAGGTGTGAGCTTGAATAGCGGCTCTGTCTCCCACAGCCTCCTCCTCCCATGTCAAAATGAGGGGGCAGAGGGATGATCCCCAGACGTCTTTCAAGGTTTAGATTCTATTCCATTCAACAGTGCCAACATCTCCACGGCATAATGCAAATAGCAACTTAAGCCATAATGAATGTTCACGGTAAGAAAACAGAAACGGCTAGTCTAGAAGCAGAAAGAAACTATCTTTTCCTGTTTTTATCTTGAAGTTGAAATGAAAGAGCAAGTGAAGCATAGAAATTGCAAAACGAATAAAAAATAGTCTTCATTTGGGACTTTGAAATATTTGTTTCTCTCTTATTTTTAGCAAGGTTTTTTTTTTTTCCCAGATGGATGGAAAAAGTTTGGAAGTCTAATGTCACCTTGATTCTTGTTACAGTGTTAATTATTTATACAGGGATGGGAGAGGAGAGCCGGAGGAGCTCCGTGCTCAGCTCAGGGCCATCGGCCCACACTGAGGAAGCTGCCACCGCGGAGCCCGCTACCCTGCTCCCCTCCCCCAGCCCAGGGACCTGGCACGGGCCACTCATCTTTCTAGAAAACTCAGCCACCATCCTCCAGGACTCCCGGCCTCAGGGCCTCGCTTGTGGGAACCGGGAAGACGTTGTCCAGCTTTCCTGCGAGCAGTGGGAACACGTGACTCAACCTTCCCTTGAACTTGATACAACGTGATGCACATGGTGCCTCCTCCCACAAGCAGCAGAGCTCTTCTGCAATCACGCTTCAGCCTGGTCCAGATGGGCACGGGACCCTGGAGGAGGACCAGGACGGGGAGGACGGGGAGGAGGGTGGGCCCCCCGGGTGTCCTGGTCTGGAATGGGCACGCAGGATGAGGATGGGGAGCACAGGCCATGCAGGCCTGGGGTATCCACTTCACTTGGGCTGCAGGACTCTGGTCATCACGACCACCTGTGCCCAGAGGCCCCACGCACCCTCTCCCTGTGTACCTCATGTGGCTACTGAGCCCTACCTCCCTTGGGGGCCCAGCCAGGCCCACCACAGCCACGTCCACACCCAAGCCTGACACAATCTGTGGGTGACTACTGTGACCTGACGTATAACCAATGCTCTATTCTGACCATCTGCCCAGCTTGTAAATCCACATTTCACCTACATGCCTTCCAGATAAAACTGGAATTCAGAAAATGAGAACATAATACATCGAGAGGAACAGCAGAGCTTCAGAGGAAAACTCGTCAAATTTTAATGCCAACCCATGCTGCTCACCGTCTATGGATTAGGCGCATGGGCACACCTGATTCATCAGTTAATATGGAGCTTTTATTTATCCATTTAAGTTCAGTTTTAGGAATTTTTTTTCTATTTTGTAGTTAACTACTCAGTCAAACTGAAGGAAGGAATACTCATATCAGTTAAGTTTAAATTAGTGGGCTCACATTTCAAGCTTTCTTGCTAGCAAATCCATGAACATATTGTAAAGTGTATTGCTGGTGTATTTTAAGGGTCGTTTCTGCCAGGTACAGATTCTACACCGACCTTCATGCTGTCAGGTGGAGGTTAAACCAGCCGGCGTCAGAGGTCGAGACCTTTGCTTTCTTCTCTTCAGCAATACCTGCTTTGTGTGATTACGTGATGTCTCTTCTTATTTACTTTGAGCCTCTACGTTTATAAAATTGCTATTCTAATCATGACTGCATCTATGTGTGTCTTGAGGTAGGAATCGAACAAGAAAAGCACTGAGCACATGATCTCCTATGTCACAGAATCTGTGTTAAAAGATTCACAGAAGCCTGGACATGGAAGATACAGCAGACAGGGGAAAATCTCTAAATCCATTGCCTTAACCAGGAAGTTCACAATAAGCAAATAAAGCCATATCAAAGTCAGAAAGAGCCCTGGAGTGTGTCTGAAGTGGGCAGGCCGGGAAGAGCAGGTAGTCTCAGGGGCTTTGGGACCAGGGGGTAGGACAGACAGACGTCTGGATGTCCAATGAGATGCATGCATGGGAGGTAGGTCAGCAAAGCCCTGCAGCCTCTGGGACACAGGGGGCACTGGCTGGGCACGGAGAAGTACAGAAATACAAAGTGTATTACTCTCAATAACTTAGTGACATAATGGAGGAAAATTACTTTATCCTAAAGTGATCACCAAGTAAAAAGGTACAAAACCCAAGAATTTGTGAACAGTCATAGAAATGTTTTTTATAGAACTCCAAATTCAATGGAGCTGGAAGAAGTTAACTCTGGGCATGTATCTTTAAATCCTTGAGACAGTAACTACTTGTACAAACAATCATGTATAAAATGGAATCCAAGCATTGATGCTGACCTGTAACCCAGGGGAATGACTCATCCTTCAGGTGTAAACACTTTCCATTGCTATGCCAACGGTCATTTCTTCATAGACAAAAACCATGGGTAGTGAAGGAAAGCAGGTTAATAAGGATAATTCTGAGCTTGCTAACCTGGAACGCCAAGGCAATATTAACTTTATGCGGCGACCTCTGTTGGCTCCAATTAACTTTTCTGTAGTTATGGTTACAATGGAAATAACACTTCACTTTTCTTCACTGCTCTTTCAACTCTGGTAGCAACTCAAGATACTAGCCCCAGACTGAGGCGCATTAGCACTGGAGAAATTTCTTGACATAAATCTCCCCTAAATACTGATGAAAGGCAATGTCAGCCTGAACATTTCACTTAGGAAATGAGAACCTCCTCAAGAATCCTTCATTGTTGGGCTGGGAAGGTGGCTCAGTGGTAGAGCGCTTGCCTTGCATGCCTGAGGCCCTGGGTTTGATTCCTCAGCACCACATAAGCAAAAAAGAAAAAAGCCGGAAGTGGCGCTGTGGCTCAAGTGGTAGAGCGCTAGCCTTGAGCTGAAGAGCTGAGGGACAGCGCCCAGGCCCAGAGTTCAGGCCCCACAACCGGATCCCCCCACCCCCCAAAAAAAGAATCCTTCATTGTTTGCTTATTTCAGAAATCTACCAGTTAGAGACACTTAGACAGTTTTAAACAGCTCATAATGTTTACTCCACAAAAAAGTCATAATAGTTGTTTTCACATCTCTAAATGAAGCAGGCATAATTTCAAATGAAATCACTTGGATAATTACTGAGTTATGACAACGTTCATCTGTGTGGTAACAGAAAGACAAGGTAATGCCCCACTGGCGGAGTTCATCAGCTAATGCTGCCACTGGCCATCTACACGGGTTTCTAGAAGGGAGGGTCACAGCTGCAACACTGTGGTTTATCAAAGGTTTGGAGAGAGGCTAATGACTGAGGCAAGGACCGGGAGAACAGGCCTTTTCTGGCTCCAGTGATGTGGAAGGTCCCTGGGCCGAGCAGACTGGAGATCCAGGCAGAGGCATTTCCCTGTATCTGACAGAGTGGCCGTCCTGGCCCACAGAAGGGCCAAGAACTCTATAACGCTGAAGAATGAGGAAGCGTGAGCCACCATGTCACTCATCTTGGCACATGCCAATGACTGTGGTGACAGCACAGGAAACAGATTTGCCTTGTGGAACCCATCTCAGTGAAACAAACCTCCCGGTGCTCTGGTCTGAGTCGTGGCGGAGAGTTTGAATGTCACGGTCCTTGTCCATCAGCCTAAGGTCATCTTTAATAGTTATCAAAGATTCACTTTTAGGAATATTTTCATCAACAGAGCTCTGCTTATTGGTGAATCAGCCTGTCTGTAGGCTGACTGGAGGGAGGCTCAGTGGTTCGGAAGGACCTGACTCATGTAGGGTTCTGCCCAGTTGACACCCTAGACAAGTTAGGGATGGCTCTCCACAGCTCGAAGGACCCATAAGCAAGCGCCTTCTAGGGTTCAGTCCTCCACCATGTGGCTCTGCAGTAGGTCAAGGGCCTGCTCTGAGACGCATCACGCCACAGGTGCAAAACGGGCACCAATGTGCACGATAGACGAATAAAAGAGGAAAGAATATACAAATCCCTCTTTACAAGCTTTATATCGTCGTATGTTATGATAACATTTTGTATGTTTGGGCATAATAAACTATTAAAATTAAATGCAGGTTCTGGTTGGCTTCTTAGGTCTGATTGTTGAGAACTTCAAAGTTAAATGTGTGTTTTGCTACATGTGGGGGACGGGGGGGCAGAGGTAGGAAGTCAGTGCCAGCCATGCTTGGCATGAGCACAGCCTGTTCCCGCCGGGGCTCTGGACGCACACTGTCACTTCTGGTCCATCTGTCCCTGCAGTGTGGTCAGAGAAGGACTAAGCATGAAAAGTCTGCCTGTGCAGGGTGATACTGTGAGAAGGACTGAGCACGAAACATCCACTTGTACAGGGTGTTGCTGTGAGAAGGACTGAGCATGAGATGTCCTGTGCAGGGTGATGCTGTGAGGACTGAGCATGAGATGCCCTGTGCAGGGTGATGCT